CATAGCCATCCTACTATAACCAAGATCCAATACCTTAACCCAACCTTGCCTTGGACCCTAATGGTCCTCCTCCCATAATAGGGGAAATACTCTCTGGCAACACAGACTCTGTTGCCCTTAGGTACTAGTTGATCCTCCATTATACCAATAACCACCCAAAAGATGGTCTATCTCAATCAGGAAAATACTATAATCTCGTCGTAGACTTACAACAATTCCATGAGTGTTTAATATCCTGGTAAATGCTATGGCTACCCAACAGTCTTACGACACTCCTATTCCACCATGGCCACTGCCCATGGTCTTACCACAACTCTACCAACCAAAATCATCCCGAGACAAACCCGCATCTGACTAAATCCCAATCAGGTGTTTGGGCCATTCTTCGAACCTCAGATCCTTAATCAGATAAGAACATGCATAGAGGCCCTAACAGCACCTTGACCTAGACCCATCCACATTTCCGCCATGCGTTACTATTGGTGTGGAATGAAACACGAATATCCTTTATTGTGAAATCCCTTAGGCCAAAATATTTTCTCCTACATGGATTCAACTCAATTAATCCAACCTCAAGATTTGATGAATTTCCAATCAATCTCGCAAACTTACAATTTAAATTATTAAAAACTGGAGCTTACTAGGACTAGCATTCCATTACTAGCCAAGCTCGAAGATCACGCAACCACCCAAATTCTAGATGAAAACTTCCTGAAATCTCAGCAAGTCCAAAGACCCCACTTGTTTCACATGATACAATACCACCTCCTTAAGTCCTTTATGCTGGTGACAAAGACTATAACCCTTACCCTAAACTAGCGAGTCTTTACTCCGTCTACCCATCATCAGAAGGATCTTTGCATTCTAACCACCTTCAACCCTTACGATTATGAAATTTCCTCTTTGCACCTCCAACGACCAAACAACCTCATGCAACTGCCTCCACCATCTTCTGCTACCGCTCCTTCCTATTAACGATAGTGACTGTACTCCAAGGTCATTCCATAAACGACTTCCAATCCTACATGAATCAATGCTAACACAACTAAAATTTGACTTTGTTGATGAACTGATCCAACTAATCCGCACATAAACCCTCCAAACGATACCCATGATTTGATCCCATCAAAGAAGCAAACAAAAACTAAACAAATTGAGTTCCGCTCAGCAAGATACAACCCACTTGTCACACCCCAAAACTGGAACGGCAGAAACGTTCTGGGGTGGAGCACATCATGTATAGTATCACAACACGGAATAATAGTAAACAAGCGAACAACATCATCCATTGCATTAATAATGTATTTTAATACAAGAGTGTTCTGTATAGTTTATAAGACACCAAAAATATGAATCAAAATAAAAGATGAGTCTTGAATGCACTCCATCTTCTCAAAAGATGGCCTCAGTACCTGGCTACTGATGACCTGAGAATACAAGTTATTTTGAAAGAGTTTATCAACTTTAAAGCTGGTGAATTCATAAGCATTTTAGTGTCATTGTTTTTATGAAAATGTTTGTAAGTGTTTGAATGTATAAGTTTTTAAATGTTTGTAGTAATTGTTTGCATCTCCTAGAAAATCCTATATTTTCTACTAAAGGTAGCCTTCTACCAAGGCATCAAATGTGCTGCATGTTTGTTCATTGTAAAAGTGAGTATTTCTCCCAAATGTGACTATCATTTATAAAATATAGTTTTTACATTATTGTTTATGTGAGAAGATCACAAAGTAGATGTAATGGGAAAATAACGAAGTACTATAGTATTATGTTATAGTAACTACTGATGTACTAACTACCTTAAACCGGTTGTTAATTAAGTATAATGTGATATAATTGTAACCATACTTAATCGACCTAGTAAAACACAATGCTTGAAGACGTCGAAATGGTATGAAATTCATCACCCGAAGACCTGCAGGTCCCATTGTAGCTAGCAGCAAGGTGTAGGACGGTCAGTCCAGTATAGATCTATACACGAATTTGCGCTCTCCCTTCAGAAGACTGTGGTTACAAGACGAGCCATGACAGAGATGCCATGCCCTAAAGTAGTGCCTCACATTTATGTTATAGTGTGTATGTATTATGTGTACTAGTGTAGTGTATGTCCTCTCTGATTCTCATCGTAGTATGTTTTTTTGTATAGTATATAGTGTGTATGAATTGTATATACTAGTGTATGTTCTCTCTGTCTAGTGTGTAGTATGTTCTCTCTGATTCTCATTATAGTATGTTCTTTTGTATAGTGTAATGTATGTATTTTTTTCTTGTTATAGTATGTATTGACTCATGTATGAACTGACTCTTTGTATGTTTCATTGTACTAGAAAATAGTAAGTAGTATACCTCCAAACTATACCTATTATAGTTTACTAGAAATGTTGTTTGAATGACTTAGTAAGTTTATACACTTTTGCTACCCAAAGGTGATGGAGCTGAGGTAAAAGCTTTATATCTATACATATATACATAATATATAACTAAGGATTAAACGACACTCGGACAAACAACAGGTACTCTAAGTCCACAACCAAACAAGGAACAAGAATTAAAGTGTGTTATCAGTCCTAAGTCCTTTAAACCTTACTTATATAACTATATATGTATTCGACATGATTTTGAAAATATATAATTTAAATAATTGAAAGTAAAGATTTGGCAATTAAGACCAAGTTTTATAAAGAGTTTAACATGTAAAAGAGTTTAATAATCATTTTGAAGTAGTTTGTTGACAAAACAGTTAAAAGTATAGTAAGTCCATTTGTTTGAAAGTTATAAATCACATGTGATGATATTATAACTATAATGATTCAACTTGTACCCCCCATAAAAGTGTTAAAAATATTTAAAAGGTTTATTAAGGGGTATGAACTCACCTGCAGTGAGTGGTTTGGATGAAATTGTTGTATAGGATGCTAAGTGCCAAGTGAAGACTTGAACACACACACAGAACCTATTTAACGTATAATGACACATATATGTATCTAATTAGTGATTAAGAAACTAATTAAGCAATTAAGGACACCCTAGGACATGGAAAACACTTTGATTCGAGTGCTAGAAGTACAAAGGGTTGTATCTAAGGTTGTAGGGCCTCTCTTCGGAGTTTACGGCTAAAGTGTAAAGTCCCCATGAGTTTACGGCCTATGGGTTTACGGCCCAATGAGTTTGCGGCCGTAAACTCATGGTATATTGTACCATTTTGATGTTTAAGGTCCTATACTCATCTTGGAAGTGTTCTAGTCTTAGTTCCAAGGCTTAGGAAAGTGTTTGTGGCAACTCTGCACCAATAAGTAGAGTTTACGGGCAAGGGAGTTTGCCTTGGCCGTAAACACCCTTTTCTCCATTATTTATTGGTGTTTTCTAGTTGTTTATCAAGTGATTCTAGTATGTAACAAGCTAACGGTAGTATACTTACGTTTTGAAGGCAAATGGGGGTGTTTTCGGCCCAAAACACTTAAGTATTCTTGGTGTTCTTGAAGATCTGGTTTCAAAAGATGAAAGTTGTGGATGGATTCAAGCATGAATCAAGAAGAAGTGATGTATAACACATAGATGGAGTGATTTACTTACATTTTTGGAAGATTGGAAGCAAAAGTCTCAAGATCCTTGAGAGAGAATTCTGAGTTCTTGAGCTTGGAATGTGAAGAATGAGGAAAAATGAAGAAAATCATGTATATATAGCATGAGTTTACGGACACCATGTGTTTACGGCCGTAAACTCACATGGCTTCACCGTAAACTCCACATGATGATGGTTAGGGCTTGTTTGATGTTTACAACTTCCAATTTACATTTCCTTTCTCTTATTATTTTGATGTATTAAGCTTAGAATGCTCAAACAGACTCAAAATACTGCTAAAAGTTAGCAGAAGCAAGTTTGACTTTGATTGAAATGTAGGGTTTGTAGAAGATATAAATTTCGGGTTGTCACACCACTAATAAGATGTATTAACATGATAAGATCTTAATGATTAAGACAATGAATTCTAAACTCAGATATGACCCTAATGAGATGTCTTAACACATAAAGCTGGAGATTTACTCCCTTTTCATGGCTTAATGGGACGAAAACCTTAATACAAACCATAATAAGCACTCAAACTCATGCATGGTCCAACACAACTCATCAAGATGAAATTTTTATAAACAAGGGACCTCCCAAATATCAAGATCTAGCATACTAAGGTCTTGGAGTAACCCATACTCACAAAGATGAATATAAGGAACAAAATGAACACAAAATGCTCCTTAAACTAGATGTAACACCTAGCGTCATCAAGTTAGAAACTTTCAGAAGGCAGAACAAGATGCACAAAGGCTGGATGCAAAAGCTCCAAGCACTACTAGAAAAACAGCCTTTTAGGACGCTCATTGCGCGTCGTAAAAGGCTCAGATGACGCGCAAATGCGCGTCAAGGAAGGCCCTGTCATAAAGAGAGACGATGCACAATTGCGACGCGCATTTACGACACGCAATGCGTATCAAGGAAGGCCATGTCATAAAGGAAGACGACACGCATTCGCGTGTCGTAACCTTACGACGCTCATGTTAATGACACGCAATGCGTATCAAGAAAGCCCCTGTCAAGAAAGGCCATGTCATAAATGAAGATGACACACATTTTTGCGTATCATAATTTTAAATGTTTAAAAAAATATTATTTATAGATTTATTTATTTTCAAATTAAATTTGTATTTAACGTTTTATAATAGAAAATAAAATATCATATACAAAAAATAGAATCCATTGCATAAATTTAATGTCATACAATTCTATTTCTTACAATATATAAATTTGCATCTAATCTACTGTGTACATCAAATTCCAACTAAGTAAATTTACATCTTGCCTTTAATAATTCTTTGAGACTAATGCTCCAAACAGCTAATTATATGGATAAGCAGTTGTACATTGGCCCATCTCACTCAATAATGACTTAGCCAAATTCAACTCCAAGTCTTTACTGCATCTTGCTGATAATGCTGCAAGATTTAAATCAAGTGGCTTCATATTCCTTTCTTCCATCAACTTTACCTGATGCACAAGGACCAACTTGACCTGTTTCATCAGCAGAAACAACCAAGTTACCTAGCATATCTGGAGTTGAAGTTTAAGATGATTATTTTACTTGGAGTTAGTTACAATTTACCTGTTGTTGATTAGTTTCTTGTATATACGCCTTTATCTACCAGCTCCAACAACCCTTATACATGTAAAGGACTTGAAAGGGTAAAATTTAAAGACTACATAGCCACTTACAGTGAAAGACAAAAGCCATCAGGCCAACATCTCTATGTACCAATCTATCATGACCATGACATAAACAAAACTCATTTTAATAAAACTGATTTCATTAAAATAACAAGCTAAACAACAAATCATTAATTTCAATTGATAAAACTTAATTTAAGGATAAAATAGATTTACCCGATATGCTATCAAAGGTCAAGTGTTCTAAATTTGCTTTGTACTCTTCAAATAGGTTCCCCAAAAAAACAAATCATTAATTTCAATGCACTTGTCAGTTTCTTTTATATTAATGCGCATTTTTCTGATACTTTGCCCTGCAATGCAATCCAATTATTCAAAATGAAAGCAAGAAAATGATGCTATAAATAAATTCTGAGAAAATGACTCCCAAAAACATGATAGCCTGCCATATAGTAGAAGAGTCCAGAATAATACCGATTAAGTAACCCCCTAGTTTCAATAAAAATGACACATTATGCAGAAGTCCTCTTACTTTCTCTTCTATTTCAAAGCAGAACTGTAGTATATAATAGAAGTTTACTTTATATGTTCAATATGAGAGGGAGAGTTCAATATTAACACAAACAATGGAGTTTAACATGCAAATAATGTAATAAGTTATAATACTTGACGGGGGCAAAAAAGTCATTTAATATTTTCAAAACTATTATTAGTAAGTACCTCAACACTGGTGGTATAAAGTCCACCATTAAACATCTCTATCTTGCATTTTTTTTTTCAATTTCACCACAGGGACAGGCAAGTATTCTTCATATAGCCGCCTATACAGTTCAAGAGTTTCGACAACCTAAAAATAAATACATCACTAAAATATTTTATCGATTTATCCACTAAACTAACCAATTTTAACAATCAACAACAAGTATACTAATATTGATACAACAGTTGACAATATATTAACCTATTTTATCAATTTGAGTATATAATAATAGTATAATACTATAATATACTAAAGCAGAACGTAAAATTTTCACCAGTTTATGGATATAGACAACTAGATTATTTTCAAAATAGTTTATTAATGGTTAATCACAATAGGAAATACTATTTTATCAATATCAGTATAAAAATACAATAAAGTGTAACATAGGTATTTTTATTCCTTAAATTTATAATTGTACCTCAGCGTCTGCCTCATCCTTTGATGCAAAGGCAGTGTGTCCTTGCCAAAGAAACTCACGGCTCCTAGAATAGCAACAGTTTATTATCATTTCAAGAAATAGAAAATCAAGACAAAAAATCATGTCATGTGATGAATTATGAATAAGAAAGCAAAGAAGCTACCTGATAAATGGAGTCGGATTACTAAAATCCCACCGAACAACATTACACCATTGGTTAAGTTTCTAGGGCAAGTCATGGTGTCCCCTGATCATTTTGTGAAATACGAATGCATCACAGTTTCACTTGTTGGTCTAATTGCAATTGGAACTTCCAATTCATAATTCCCCGATCTCGTCAACCATGCAACCTGAAAGGGGAATAAGGAGGGCATTCATGTCTTCAAGAGAATAAACAACATGAGATAATGTATCAATGATGCATGTTTTAGTCCTTCCACCAGATGAATCACGAAGAAGACTAGTTAATTTGCTATCCCTGGATTACCTAAATGATAAAACCTAAAAATCAAAATCTTGAACCCATGAATGTTAAGTGTAAATTCTGTATTTAGATGAACAAACACAAGAACATAATCAAAATCTGAGACCTGTAGACATCAAAATGATTATGCACCAAAAATCCACGTGACCACCAAAGCTTAGAGTTATAACTAAGTATGTATGTCTTATGGAAAAGGAGGTACCTGGTGAGGTTTAACAGACAATAATGGAGTACCTGGTTAAGTTTCTAGGGGAAGTCAAAGCCTCTCTGATACCATGATAAAAAGTGTATTTTTGTATTTCATTTCTCATCAATTCATAATAGAAAGGAAATACTTTATAAAGGAGCATAAGAAGCTAAAAAAGGACAGAGGCTAATCTACTCCTATAATCAAGGAATTTACATGGAAAGATAAAACAAATCAATAGAAGTTGTAACAAAAATTTACAAACTAATTAGATACAAGAAATATAAAAAAAATATACCCTTAAATGCTTTTCAATGTCTAATCTCCATCATAGCTCTTCAACTCACTTCTCCTGTTTGTCCTTAGTTGTGACAACATATTATAATTTTTTAATTACTATTTATTCTTATAATTCAAAGCACTTAGATAAAATGGTATTATATAATACTTTGATATTTTTACAGAAAATCCACTCACCAGCTTCAACATTCTTAATTTTTCCTGCTACCTTTGATATCCATAGACATTGAAGTGTAAGATTTGCTTTATGCTTATTCACCCTTGTTTCTAATCATTTTCTTAAATATTTTACAAACATAATTCATCCGTAGTTCCTGAACTATAGTTACAACCTTGTTTCTTCTTCATCTTCTTCTGAATTCATCTCTTGCAGCCAAAATTAAATACCATTCGAGATCATGCCATATGGCAACAAATGTGAAGACAACCCACACATTTGGGGAAAACAGAAATAGAAATAGAAACCTTCTGTCTGAAGAAATACGGATTTTAGCCAACTTATGCCCGATGGTCCGATGACAAAGCCCACAAGGTTAGCCACCTGTCAAATAGATATAAGGGCAAAATGGTCATTTTCAAATTCTTTTAAACTAAACCAGCATATCCGTGGAAATTGGTCCGATGACAAAGCCCACAATTTTACTTTTTTCAGTTTTGGTTATATATATTATTTAAATTAATTAACTTTGGAATTGGAAATTGGTCCCTTTGGAAGTGTTGTTATTTCAGGAACATAGATTAGGGTAGTTTTATGCTACACAAACCATGAGACACGCGATTATGATAGCACCAACAACTGCACTAAGCTCACGCAAAATAAACTCCTTAAATACGTTATCAGCCTGTAAAACCACAACTCAAATTTCAGGGAATTCCAATCTCAAACTATTTATTTTTGTTATATGTATGTATAATGAGGGTATTTTGGTGTTTGAAGGAATCAGACAGAATTAAATTTTGTCCATCATTTGGCAAGCAAACACACATGCCATGGAATGGAATCTCGAATTATAAGAGATTACATGGTGAAAATATTCATACAAACTCCTTAAATTAAATGCTTTACAAAGTATATTAGATCACTGGAATTTGCTCTATTAAAACTTATTACATCACCTGAAAAGAAGTTGTTGTTGATTTCAAAATCATTTCAGGAATAAAGAATATGCATGTTAACCATGCCCATGAGAGAAGTTTCTCATGCATAGCATAAACTCACTTAGATGCGGATAATAGGTCCAACAATATAGATAGGTGCATATGGCAAATAACATAGGTATATAGTATATGAGAACTAGTCAATCCTCGCACTTTTCTCCTGTTAAAAGAAATATATTAATACTATTTTTAGAATAACACTCGTACTGATATACAAATACTATTATTACTGATGCCATAACAATAACTATTTGCTTGTAACATTCTGTAACAGGTTTTTCCTGAACAACGGGTGTTGCAATGACGGATGTGCATCTGCAATCACTAGACACAAATTAAAATCCCAGACAAGGCAACATAATTAAGAAAAAAACCTATCTCCCAGACAATGCAACACAAATCAAAGATGTCACGGCACACAATTTTAAAGTTTCCAAAACATGGAAATATAATATGGGCCTTGTAAAGAAACTTAATCTTCCATAATCTGAGTCGCCGAGTTGACTCACGGTTAACTCTATATCTGAGCAAAAACGCATCTCTGCCATAAGAGCCTGTTTCTGTTTCATTAAAGTTACATCATTATCAGATCAACAAACAAGGTGTCAAAACATGATGAAAATAGTGGTTTACATTATCGATCTGTTGATCCTGTTGAGCTTTGATTGCTGCTTTCACTTGATCTTTATCAACATTTGTCTGAAATAACAACAAAATCCAAAACATACATTCAACAAAAACAAAACCCAAATCCCAAGGGTAGAGATATCATATAGATATAGGTGAAATGACTTATTTACCCCTTACAGGCATTGTGGTAGGATCAAGGGATTTGGCAGCACGATAACATCCGAATGGTAACTCCTGAAAACAGTTTATATAATATATATGCTGAAAAAAAAAGAGATAAGAAGTGAGTTCGGTTATTTAATCATAAAAATAAAATCTTGTTGAAATATCCAACCAATAACAGGTATCTTCTGCACAAAAACTGATAGTGTAGGCCAGAAGCCACTCCATAAATGGAATCTTAAGTAATTAATAGCAAGTCCTATGAGCAAATACAAAAGCAATCAAACTATGAGAAATGTATCAAGCAAACTTGAAGAGAATAATGAATCCATAAGCCTCTGCTACCATTCTTATTACAGGCCACCCAATGATAATAAAGAAGAATCCAACACCAAATGAAATTGTGCTCTGTAAATGTAGTGAATTAATCAAAGGATAGATAACTGGATGTATAAAAGAAATATTTGATCACACATAAACAAAATTTTATGAGTGAGTATTAGAAACCTTAAAGTTCTTGTGTTTCATGAAGAGCTACAAGGAGGACTTGACTCCAATGGTCATTATCATTCCTGAGATGAATAGGATCTGGTTCAGTAACAAACAATGGACCCTTTGTCAGTAATTGTCAAATCAGCATCAGCAATAAGAAAAACAGAGAAATAGATTAAGACACCAACATTTCTAATGGGTATTTTCGTCTTTTTAACAAATTAGGGATAAAATTAAAATTTACTTCTGCCACATTGTAGCCATGACGCCGCTTATCAACAATGGTCAAAGGTGCATCTGATAATTTTTTGGCAAAAGCTCCAGCTCTAGCAACTCCACCAACATCAGGTGACACCACTACTAAATCATCAGTTTTAATTGTCTTTCTTGCAAGGTAATCAAGTATCACAGGCTGCTTATTAACAACAAAAAAAATAAAGAATTAGATATAAGAAAAAAAATAAGGAATTAGAAAAGTAGTCTGATTACCTGACCATGTACATGATCAACTGGAATGTCAAAATGCCCCATTGATTGCCCAGAGTGAAGATCACAAGCAAGAACTCGGTCTGCTCCTACTTCTGTTATCAGATTTGCAACAAGTTTAGTTGCAATGGATTCACGTCCTTGATTCTGATTCATCAATTGCATATATATATATATATATATATATATATATATATATATATATATATATATACATGTTAAATTTATATGTACCCTTTAAATTTACACTTGAATTTATAATGCAAAGTTACCTTTCGATCAGCTCTTGCATATCCAAAGTATGGAATAACTATAGTGATAGTTTTTGCAGATGCTCAGCGACATGCATCTGTCATAATCAAAAGCTCCATAAGATTCTCATTTGTAGGTGTCTTCAAGTTCCGTATCAACGATATACACAAGACTTGTCCCATCAATAATCAAAGCAATCGATCTTGAATCATCTCCAGAACTATCAATTTTGCGAGACCTAATTCACGCATCTCTCAAGCTTTTTCTACACGATTCAGTAGAATTATTGTTTATTACAATTTGCGTCATTGTATTTGTTAGAAGCTTGGATGAATATCTAATTGAAATAGTAGTTTCTTGTTTATCGCCTGTTAAAACCCAAACTTTTATGCCAGCTGTTCTTTAACTCCCGATTGCTTCAGGTACACCTTCTTGTAATTTATCTTCAATTCCAGAAGCTCCTAATATGTTGAGATTTGTTTCTAAATTGATTTCCACCTTTTTAAGTAAACATGCCCTACCCATTAAAGCACTGGTTGCAGACTCGTAAGATGAACGCCATTGATTGAATTCATGAGAATTTAGTTCACGGATTCCCATAACTAAGGTTCTTAATCCGACTGAAGAATTTGAATGAAGATGGGATTCGGTTGCTTTTACTATATCTGAATCCATTGATTTATCTATAACATTAAACATTGTTGTATCTGCACCTTTAACGAAAACTTTCACCACGTTATCGGGAAACCCTAATATACCTGACATCCTTTTTCTTTCACTATAGAATTCGTGCATTCCAAGAACATTCAATGAAGCTAGAGTTACTTCATTAGAGCTCGATTGGAGCGGAATCGGAGATTGGGGAGCGGAAGAAGAGAGAATCATAGAAGTTTGAAGTGTGGAAAACTGATTACACCTCCCTGTACCTTACTCAATAATCAAAACCATAAAAATTCTTGAATTTTGTATGAACAAGCGATGAAGATACGAAGTTGTGGGAGATGCAAAGTTGGAGAGCAGATGTGGAGAAGTGAAGTGGGGGATGTTTGAGGATCCAGAGAGAAGAAAGAAAGAAAGAAATGGGTTTTCGGCCAAGGTTTTCAGCCTGTGGAAAAGCGGGCTTTTTAATTTTTGGATTTCATTTCCCCCTTCGATGAAACGCGCATGTTTCATTAAAATTATAAAGCGGCAAGGTTAGACGACACACATTTTATTTAAGGTGCCCTCCGTGTGTTTTTCATTAGACACTAATTTTAGGGCACATAAAAATGCATGTCCTCTATGCTTCAAATTTTGGAAAACTGACATCAATTTTTAGGGCTCGCACAAATGCGTGTCCTCTATCAGCGCGTGTCATTGATTGCGTGTCGTAAAAGGCTGTTTTTCTAGTAGTGAAGCAATCTCACACATCTCCAAGAAGCTCCTTCTTCTTCAAAGGTCACCAAAATGCATGAAATACCACTTAAAGCTCAAAAACTTCACTAATGGAAGTTATCGTCTCGATTATAAGGTTAAAAGGACTGGAGTTTGAAGATCATAAGGTTTGGTTAAATAGGTTCTAAGACCCTAAATTAGGGTTTGGCTCTGACTGGAGGACGCCATGCGTAACTCTGGTACGCCCAACATAGTCCAAGGTGGAGTAATGACACCTTTGCCTAATATGCCCAACGTACTCCCCATGTATGCCTACCGTACTAGGACAACCCTATATCCTTCAATCTTTGGAATGACATATCTTCTTCATTTTAAATCAAATTTCGACGATCCTTATATCCAAGGAATGGTGACAAGAAGATCTACACTTCTATCAACTCATCCTTGCGTCAAAACTTCGTGAACTAAAATACAAAATCCAACAAAAGCCCAGACTAACATTTCACCGATATACCCCTTGGCTCCAAAACACAAACCAAACATCTGTATAATCTAAAATACATTACCCACACCAAAATGGGTCTAAATCTCTCTCTCTCTCTTTCCCAAATGCCCTAATCCTCATGATAACTGATATTCGGGTCACAACCCCGAATTAGGAAACATTTCGGAATAGGGTGTTACAACTCTAATTAGATTTCCTCTTCAAAATCACTTCTCACCACCCTTGTAACATCCCAAAACTTCCAAACATTTAAAACTTTTCAAAAAAATACTTTTGTCTAATAGAAGTGGTACAAAACCATTGTTTCAAAGCATCATTAAAAATCAGAGTCTCCCAAGATCCAATTAGTTGTAAAACCAAGGATGTGTATGGTCACACCTTCGGCTTGCCACGGTCCATTGAAGTACTTGAAATCATACACCAAAAATGTAATCACAAAGCTTATTGAGTTCCTCCAAATACAAACACAAAATAAATAACACAAATACAATAACAACATACTATAGGTGCAATCAACCATCGGGTTGGAATAACCCAGGCCCTCAATAATTGGGTTGGAATGCCAACATACTATGGGTCCATTCAACCATCGGGTTGGAATACCCAAGACCCTCAACCATCGGGTTGGAATGCCAACATACTAAGGGTCCAACCATCTAGTTGGAATGCCAACATACTATGGGTCTAATCAACCATCAGCTTGGAATACCCTAGGACCTCAACCATCGGTTTGGAATTCCAACATACTATGGCTCCAATCAACATTTGGGTTGGAATACCCTGGCCTGTTGGCTTATACACGAAGCAGTAAAGTCTCAGCCATCAACCAAACATGTGCACATATAACAATCTATAGTCGGTCAGACAGATCTACTGATTACTAAGCATATAATCATCCTATATAGCAGGATGCTGATCTAATAAATCACTACAGTATAATAACATACATAACAGGATATCAAATCCAATGGCCCGAAATTGGTGCCTTCGACCCAGCAAGTACAGTAAGGAAAACTCACCTCGCAGACTAAATGGAACTGATGAGGACTGACTCTGAATCTCAACTATCAAACTGATACATGTTTCCATCATGTGACCAATTCCATCAAAATCCCAAAATACCTAAAATACCCTCAAGGTCCAAGTTGGTCAAAGTCAATGGTCAAGGTCAACAATCCATGTTGACCCACATATCGTGTTGACTTAGAAACATGTCGTTTTCCTTCTGCTCCCCAACAGTCGGGAAAATCCCGACCAACACACCGTGTTTGCTGAAGTTCCAACATCTTAATACGTTAATCTGTTTTCCTTGATTACAAGAGCTCCAAAGCTCAAATCTAGTACAAAATGTGATCTATAAGGATAAAGTTTCCAACTTTATCCTTTGGGACTACCCAAAAAGGTCCAACATCCAATCCATAAAGTTTAAAAATGCAAGGGCTTACCCAATAAGCACTTCGTCCTTAAAGTCTGAAATCCATCATTTCCAGGAGTGATTCTAACACCAAAACCATCCGCAAGGTTTGTGATTTTGAGATGTACATGTCTAACACATGTCTTAAACCCATATTAGGTCAAAATGCGACTTTATGACCTAGTATATATTCATGGCATCAAAACTTGATTAAAGACTAGATCCAAGAGACGACTAGGTTGCCTTGACGTGGAGATTCATAAAGTTGCAAACTTTATGAGATCTAATCATGCCAGCATTCAAGAACAAGAAGAAAAAGGGACAAAACCCAAGATCTAACAAAGTCAAATGATAAAAATCAAGTCTTGGACACTTACAAAGGTCTAGAAGAGTGCCAAACTGAACAATAGGGGCTTTCTTGCTGGATCTTTGCTTCCTTCTTCCACCTTCTTCCTTCTTTAACTTCAAAAACACCAAACTAGCTCAAAAATAGGAAGGAAAGATGATTAAGGTTTCTTTCAAACATTGAGGGGATGATGGGGAAAGACAGTGAATAAAACATAGCCTCCACATTCCTTTAAAAACTGAGCAAAACCTGGAAGATTAGGGTTTCATTCCAGCTATCAACACGTCGTGTTCCAACAGGCAACATGTTGTGTTGCGCTTAATGAAATCCATGTTTCCTCATATTTGGACACGTAGTGTTGGTGCCTCCAACACACCGTGTCAAATCCTAAAAAGTTGATTCATTCCCAAAATTGCTCCTCAATTTTCGGGTGTTACAAACCTCTTGTAAACCATCACTCTGAACAAAACCCTTTAGTGCTGAACAAATCACTGATCCTAAAACTGTTGATCCATTACGTTACTACTATAATTCCAAAGCCCCATAGCTTGCATGACCTCCACATAGTTGAATCCAATTCGAAACACAATCACAAGATCCTTTTTCTACCAGTAGAATTGAAAAAGAAATACCCTTTTGACCCTGAACATTTGATTGATATCATGGGCATACAGATTTCCTTAATCCATAACTTGTTGAAGTAAAGATCTTTGCATATATACACTAACGAATCTCAACGCGATTCTCGACCAAAAGCCAACTCGGTACCTAACTCAAAACCTAAGATACAAGGATTTGGACTGGAATTTCACTCGAAATCTTCTGCCTCACGTTATCCATTCACTAAACTGGGATATAAAAATACCCAATTCACCGTTGAGTATGCTAGTCCCATACCTTTCCTAGCCGCCAGGTTCCTAAAGGTCCATCGAATAAGGTTGCTCTATCCTATGCACCACACTTGTTCCCCTTACTAACCACATAGACATCCTACTATAAGCAAGATCCAATACCTTAACCCAACCTTGCCTTGGGCTCGAGCGGTCCTCCTCCCATAATAGGGGAAATGCTCTCTGGCAACACTAACTCCCTTGACCTAGGTACTAGTTGATCCTCCTTTATACCAATGACCACCCAAAAGATGGTCTATCTCAGTCAGGAAATTACTACAATCCCATCATATACTTACAACAATTCCTTGACTATTTAATATCCTGGTAAATGGTACGGCTCCCCAACAGTGTTACGACACTCCTATTTTGTCGTGGACACTACCCATGGTCTAACCACAACTCTACCAACCAAAATCATCCTGAGACACGCATCTGAATAAATCCTAATCAGGTGTTTGGGCTATTCTTTGAACCCAGGATCCTTAATCAGATAAGAACATGCATAGAGGCCCTAACACCACCTTGACCTAGACCCATCCACATTTCCGCCATGTGTTACTATTGGTGTGGAATGAAACACGAATATCCTTTCTTGTGTAATCCCTTAGGCCAAAATATTTTCTCCCACATGGATTCAACTGCAGTAATCCAACCTCAAGATTTGATGAATTTCCAATCAATCTCGCAACCTTACAATTCAAATTATTAAAAATTGGAGCTTACTAGGACTAGCATTCCATTACTAGCCAAGCTCGAAGATCGCGCAACCACCCGAATTCCAGATGAACACTTCCCGAAATCTCAGCAAGTCCAAAAACCCCACTTGTTTCTCATGATACAATACCACCTCCTTAAGTCCTTTATGCTGGTGTCAAAGACTATAACCCTTTCCCTAAAATAGCGAGTCTTTACTCTGTATTCCCATCATCAGAAGGATTTTTGCATTCTAACCACCTTCAACATCTACAATTATGAAATTTCCTCTTTGCACCTCCGATGACCAAACAACCTCATGCAACTTCCTCCGCCATCTTCTGCTACCGCTCCTTCCTAGTAACGGTAGTGACCATACTCAAAGGTCCTTCCATAAATGGCTACCAGTCCTACCTGAATCAATCCTAACACGATTGAAGTTTAACTTTGTTGATGAACTGATCCAACTAATCCACACATAAACCCTCCAAACGAAACCCTTGATTTGGTCCCATCAAAGAAGCAAACAAAAATCAAACAAATTGAGTTCCGCTCAGCAAGATGCAACCCACTAATAACCCTTGGAATGTAAAAATGGCATATAGCAATTCTTGATGAGACAACCCAGGCAATGACCGAGAAATCAAACAAAGATATTGCTTGCCCATACAAGAACAAGATTCCAAGGCAATATAAATATTGCTAATACTCATGAAGAAAGCAAAAGATTACATACCCACAATAGCATTTGACGAAACTCTGGTCTCCCTTGATTGACATTGTAATGCTCGACTCCTCACTGTTCGGGCTTCTGCCCTACCCTCACGACCACTAGAGATCCTCAAAGTAACCGGAGCAGGTGTACTCACTGCTGCATCCCTCAACATCAGATAGTCGACCTTCTTGTGGCGTACCTGGCTGTAGTGAAAACACATTGGAACCGACCCACATGGGTAGTCCCTACTAAAATGACCCATCTAACCACAGCTGAAACATCCTCAACTTGTCTCCCGACATCCTCCCTCATGGGTCTTCCCACAATTGGTACAACAGACCCGACCCTAATGGCCCCCCAAACGTGAATCCTAAGTCTTGATCCTCTTCACCTGGCCCGCTCAAATCTAAGTTCGATCTAGTTTCCTCTTCCCGAGGTGTTCCAAATCAATCTCCTGCTCTTGGGATCTAGCAATCCTATCATTCAGGGTCTCGCACCCTGAAAAACTCACAAACTCCCTGATGTCAACCCTCAGCCTATCATGATACCTTACCGTTGACATCTCCTTGATCGCCGCATACTGCAAAATGAACAAGGCTTTCTCCCGGAACTTGGCAGTGATCTCTGCCACAATCTCAGTCGCTTAACGAATGTCCTGAAACTCCCTCGCCAACTGCTACACCTCCATAGCTGGTGCATACTCGACCCTAACCTAGGTCTCAAACTCATCTGAAGTCATCGTATCCAAGGCTTCGCCTCCCAGAGTGAAGTATACCTCCTCCCACCAATCTCGGGCTTTGTCTTTCAGAAGACAGGATCCAAATCTGACCTTCGACCCCTCAGGGCAAAAACTTGTCCAGAAAGCATTATCTATATCTGCTAACCATCTCCTACTTCAAATGGGGTCCTTCTTCCCAAAGAGCTCGGGATCTCCACAGGCACGAAAATCATAAAAAGAAAGAGTACAAGCTCTAACAGTAGCCATAACCTCAGTACGGATTATGTCCAGATGCTCATCCATAGTCTCCAAAATCCCTTCATTGATCATACCAAAGATCACAGGATTCTGCTCCAAAATATCATGGGAAATAACCGACGAGATGAACTCCCGCATCAGCTCATTAATTGGGTCAATACCTGCACCTGATACCAAACCCGAACCTGAACCTCCTTCCTGAGTGCTCATCACCATTACGAAAAACAACCGTGCAAAGGATCAGAACATAAGAATAAATCCTTATCCAACATGCTTCCTACACTCTCCGTGACTCTCCTCGGTTCGATTATGGATCCTGTGCTTTCAGTGGTAAGGGCCCAATACTACCATCCACACATATCCATACTTTCCTTAAGAATCCTCTCGAATCCTCCAGTTAACCTTCTCAAACTAGTACTCTAAGTACCTGTTAAACAATGTAACTAAACCCACTGAAGCACTTCCTAGGATCTCGTAATTTTTTGACCTCACCTTGCCATCAACTGCTGAAGAACTCCTCATAATGTCAGTTAACCAACTAATGAGTACAATCACATACAAAAAAGCTTAGATAATCCTTCGAGTAAAAGGCTCATCCCTACAATGGTTGTACTCATACAAGAGCTTCGCAATAGGGTCAAACCCATCACTCTAAGATTACTCAATGTTCGCCACATGTGACTTAACATATTTACTTAATAGTTGACTCACATCACTTAAGAGTTCCACAAAGAATAAAGCAAGCATCATTCGTGTATCAACACTCCAATCTATAGAATAATCATGAAGGCTTCTCAAGCTTACTGGCTTTCCAACGTCTTCGCTTCACTAACATTCTTCCTATATTCTTCTAGGGCAACCACCACACTATTCCCCACCATCAACTGCAGAAGGAACTCCCCCTAACACCCTCTAACTAGCTTACGAGTACAATTACATATCATCATCACCAGATAATTTTTCAAATGAAAGGTCTGATACTATAACGGTTGGACTCATATAAGAGCTACGGAATAGTGTTAAACCTAACCTGCTAAAATTATCCAGTCTCAATAATATGTAACTTAGTATATACGCTTACCAGTTAGCCGAAGTTAGTGGGAACTTCTAAAAGCACAAAGCAGAACCTATACAAACCATCCTATTACTAACTAATCAGTACTAGCATGCAAGTCAACAAGCTAACACAACAGGTACACAAAGGCATCTTTCTTAGATCCTCAGTCCCGATCTAGCATGCAGTTCTCATAACTTAGCATAAAACATATAACATGAAGGTTATTTTGGGAAGACTTGCTTGAGCTCGTCTGATTGCGTCCATCATATCCCTTTCTTTAATTAGAAAATCCTTTAAGAATAGATTTATTTTATGAAAATTTCACCAAACCCTCAGTTTGATTTCAGACATACCCGAGAGTATGCCCGAATCTCTGAAACCAAGGCTCTGGTACCAACTTGTAACATCCCAAGAATTATGAGGTAAAAATTTCATCTTTAATTCAAACAAAACATTAACTAACTTTAAGCCAAACATTCATTATCCTTTTCTACAAACTCAAAATCTAAGGTCCAATCCATAATCGTACTTCCTAAAAGGTAAAAGACCATTTTACCCTTTTCTTACTTGGCCCAAAACCAAGATCCAACCCATTAGCACAAAAAGCCCAAATCTCTAAATGGCAACTTGTAAAGCCTGCAGATTTGGGCAAGTCAATTTAGAGATAATAACTGGTAAAAATTACTTTCACTAAAAGAATATATGCCTTTAATGACACGCGAACCATGACACACATCGATTTATGATACGCAAAAGCATGTGTCCTCAAAATAATACCATCTCTTTTAAATTTTGAAGGATCTAGGACAAGCATTTTTGCATGCCCTCAAAGTTAGTGTCAAAACAAAAAAAATTAAAAACACAGAGGGCACTCATCATAAAAAACATGTCGTTTTATTAAGTTTCCATCAAACGTGCATCCTCCATCTTTAAAAGCTAAGGGGGAAATCAAATCCCAAAATATTCAACCCCCCGCCTTTTTCTCCTCTCCAACCGGCCAAAAACCCTTCTCCTTTCTATGACCTAATTAATCAAGCTCTGCAAATTCCATGGCCACTTTGAATCGGATGCAACCATACATTTGCCAAAAAATTCTTCATATATGTTCAGTCTTCATCTTTTATCTTGGCATATGGACCGTCTTCACATAATCGACAACGATACTAGGGCTTTGAACTGGTCATCACAAAATTATTCGAGCTTACAGTAACTTCTCATGCTTAAGTTTACAAGCCTTCATGCAAGAGCCAACCATTTACGACTCTTCACGCTCACAAATACTACGATTTAGAGCTTGTTACATTATACATGTGTCGGGCTTACAAGGAGATTAAGGGTTTCGTGACTTCTCCCTACAAACAACTCCCTCCATCTGCTATCTCTCTCTCTCTCTACACTCTGTAATTGGTCTCTCCCTCCATCTCTAAACCAATGGAGACAACCACTGTCATGCCTACATCAACGATCGTCGTTCAACATGTAACCAAAGTTTCCTCCGATGAACTCCTCAACTCTCTCTTCATCAATGTCTACTTTTAATAAACAGCTCGTTCCTCGCTCTTGCTCCTCTTCCGCAACTACGTCGTTCTGCAGGGCTTTTGGTAACGGTTACAACTATAGATCCATTACTCCTGGTGTGACTAGGTCAGATTCAATGTATTCCAAAGGAGGTTACAGAAGTCGGTCACCGGTTGGTTTTCCGTCTGTGGATGAGCTTATTGGAGAGCTGATTAATAGTACGCCAAGATCGGGAGGAGGTGATCGCATTTTTGTAACGATTTGGTTTCGACCATTGAGGTAATTTGATTTATTGATGGATCTAAAATTGAATTTAGATCTATACCTAATCTCGACCTGTTGTCACTCAGGAAGTGTATGAAGTAGCTGCTCGACCTGTTTTGTTTTCCCACGTTCAGTTTTGGTTATAAACTGTTTTTAAAGATCAAGAAAAGTCAACATGATGAAAATGCATAGAAATATTGGAGAGCTAAAGGGTGGCATTTTTGAGCTTTCACTAAACAATTGTTTCATTTTTTTTTTTTTTGTCTCAAATGATGTTAATACCCCCAACCAAGAACAAGATGGAATCTTGAAGTTTTTATCATGTTGTTGTTTTAAAAAGAAGTAAGCCGAAGGATAGGATTCAATCACAAGGTTTTTATAAAGATTTACACCTTTTTCATTTTCCTCCCGTATGTATTCAAATGATTGAAATATTGTTTAATGATTTCCATTTTTCCATATGGACGGACCATTATTATACTCTTCCTTTGACTTCGGTCAAACAAAGCCTTTTGGATTCCTCTTATCTTAAATGGTGCTCAAGCTGTATAGGTGGCCAATTGCTTTTGTGACAAATGGATTTGTGCAATTATATTGTGTAGGTTTGACTTTTTTATTAATTAGGTCAAAGACTCATGATGTTGTTGACTCAAGAAACCATTGGCAGTTTTGGTTGCTCATATTAGACATGAATAGTTGAGTACATTGAGTAGGTGGGTTTAAAGAAAAGGAAGGAGCAAGGAGGTGGTATATGTTTTAATAATAAAGCTTACATCTGCATCTTATAGACTTGCCCTATTGCAACATTTTCCTTTCTTTATATTATTTTGTGAAAGTATGAAGATTTTCATGAAATATAAATGTATAATTTTGCAAAAAAAAATTCAAAAATATATGTTATATTGTGAAATAAATAGCAAAATTGAACGTGGGAAAACAAAACCAAATAAGGCTGCACGATATATAAACTATTTACCATTAAGGTGATAGCAAAATTGCATTCATTCCCTGCTAGTTTGTTACCTATTAATGATTCATGAGGGATTGAATGAAACACTAATTGTCTGAGCTAATGTAAGACTGCTAATGCAGGCACCGTCTTAAAAGATCAAGATGTGATTAGGATTGTGCTTAATATCCGTCCGACAAACACAAGTGCTGCCACTGCACTCGAGGCACAGTTTTTATCTCAAATAACACTCATCTTTTGGGACATGCTTACTGTCTACAAGTATGTTTAGTTTCAAATTCCAATGCCTTTTTTTAATCAAATGGTTAAATCCCAATCCAATATTTAATTTTTTTATGTGTTGCTCAGAATGTACAGTGAGTTTATATCATCCAACATTGCTGAAGGAGGGCCTTTTGCTTCTAGAACTTCATATGTGAAACTTCTAAGGTCCTTGAAGAGGGAAACACTGAATCTCATTGAGACTTTTCTTGATAAAGCTGAAGATCAACCACAAATAGGAAATCAGTTTGTTCCACCAATGATGGATCCGGTTCTTGGTGATTACGCTAGAAATTTACCAGATGCCCGTGAATCAGAAGTTTTGTCTCTCTTTGCCACAATTATTAACAAGTATGTATGTTGTTTTCAGTTTGACTTTCTTACACTTCTGTGGTTAGAATTTTCTTGATTCCATTGTAGGTACAAGGGTGCTATGATTGATGATGGCCCATGTATATTTGAAGTTGTTTTCTTGTGCACACTAGAGGTTAAAATATTTCGCTTCACGGGCCTTTCTTAATCTTATAACATATATCAAGTGTTTATAATAGTTGATTTTTTTAAAAGTTGATTTGCTCGACCCTATACTATTGTGCCGGGTCATCAATGATTTGCTCGATCCAACTGACAGTAAACTATATACAATTTATTTCTAGAAGTTGATTTTTTAATCTTTTTTCCATCTTGGTCCCTAAGTATAGATTTATATATAAATGTATGTGTGTGTATTCTTAATCATACTAATTATTTCCATAATAGGGTATATACGTTGAGGGTATAAAGGAAGAGGTTGTTTTATCCCCTGGGCATGCCCTTTCTTTTATTGCTGCTGGTGAAGGCAATGTTGAAATTTGAATCCAACCTTCCCTATTATATATGTGTGTATTAATTGTTATCTTTAATATTGATTAATTTTCTTTATATTTTACAGAACATCGCCATGTTGCTTCTAATAATTTTAATGTGCTTAGTAGCCGTAGTCACACAATATTGACTCTGGTATGTATTAACATCTACCTTATTATTCTATTGACAACTAGGGTGTCAAACGGGTAAAATTTTCGGGTTTCGGGTAGAACAAGTCGGGTAGAACGGGTATTTCCTTAAAAAAAATAATACCCAATATCCAATCCTATATTGTAATTCAGGTTTTCGGGTTTCGGGTATTCGGGTTTGAGGTCGGGTCGGGTAAGTTTTGGGTATGCCCGAAAATTTATTAAGTGACACGTATTGATAATTCATTTTTGTTTTTTACATGTTGGTTGATTTAATAAAGAATTGGTTAGGAAAATACTTCATACAATTAACAAATACATATATAATAACAATACAAATCATTATAATATGTTATGAAGGGTTTTGTTTTATTTGAAGTGTGTGTACGTGACTGCATTATATATTTGGTATTAGTTAAAAAATGAATTCGGGTATTCGGGTATACCCGAAAATAAATATTCATACCTAAAACCCGACCTATATTATTATCGGGTTAACCTATTACCCGAATGTTTAAACTCGTTACCCATTCTACCCGAATTCGGAACCGGTCAGGTGGGTAAAACGGGTTTCGGGTTTTTTCGACAGGCCTATTGACAACCACTTTTTACAAATTTATCTTTAATATATATATATATATATATATATATATATATATATATATATATATATATATATATATATATAGACACACAGAGGAGGGTTCAATTAAGAAAAACAAAGTTGAGAATGGATGAATCATTCTCAGTCACACATTTATTTTGCCGCAAAACATTTAGGCATACCGTCAGAAATAGATAACGGATAAACATGTGTTTACCAACCAAACATCTTTCATTAAACTATGCTAATCATTACTTTAATATACATAAAAACATTTTTTGTTTTTTATTTTTATTTTCAGAAAACCATTTTTATCGAAAAATTATTTTAAATATATATGAAAATTCATAATTTTTTATTCTCTATAAATAGATATCCATATTGAAATAATTTTAAGATAAAATACACAATTTATTTTTTTTAGAGTTTCAGCTCTCATTATTCATAAGTGAATAAAACTCAATTATATTTTTACTACAGTTCATTCGTTATTCACTTATGAATAAAACATATGCTTAACTTTTTTTTATAGTTTAAGTATCGTTAATATATAAATATGACACGTAATAAATTTTGTTTACTTCAAATATATTTTTTACATCATCTTTCTTCATATATTATAATTATATATGAATAAACGTGTATTAATTGTCGTCATATTTTATATTTATATATGAATAAAATATTTATCAAATTTTTGTTACAGTTAATTTGTTATTCACATATTAATAAGTATTATAAATAATAATTAAACTGTAAAAAAATTAATTATATATTTTTATTAATAAGTGAATAACGAATGTACTGTAGCAAAAATCTGATGCATTTTTTATTCACTTATGAATAACAATACCTAAAAATATAAAAAAAAATAAATTTTTTATTTTATCTTAAAAGTATTTCTATATGGAGATCTATTTGTAGAGAATAAAAAATCATGAATTTTGGTATATTTAAAATCATTTTTTGATAAAAAATAGCTTCTTAAAAATTAAAAAAAAAAAAACAAAACAAAAAAAAAAATATGTTTTTGTATATATATTAAGGAAACATATTTTGTTGGAAACACATGTGTATTCCTTATCCATTTTAGTTGGTACAATGGAGGCTTTTGCGGAAAATAAATGAGTGGGTGAGAATCATTCCTCTATTATCAACCTTTTTTATTTTCTCAATTGAACTTATATATATATATATATATATATATATATATATATATATATATATATGTGTGTGTGTGTGTGTGTGTGTGTGTGTGTGGAGTGGTTCAAATGAGAACCACAACAGATTAAGAACCTTAAGAACCTCCATTAGGTAGTAAATATTTACATGATATTCTTATTAAACATGTGAAAATCCATTTTTGTTTGTCTTTTTGAAACAAAAAGGAAAATTTGTAATTTTTGCAGTATAATATTTTCATTCGTATATGATCTCATATTTGAACACAAAACTTATATAAATTACAAGTTTATACATTCCATTTATTATTTAGTTCATAAAGTTCACAACTTAATACAAACCATTTTACATTAATTCACAAACTAAAAGAAATCAAAAATTAAAACTCTACAACTACTACCACCACATGCTGCTACCAACCACCTGTATCTGCATCGCAACCATCATTTTCTTTTAAATCAAATCTGTAAATAAATTCATGCATTAATCGCTTAAATACTACATTCACAGTCTAATAAAACAAATTATTTCACTCTGTAACGACCATAAAATTCCAACCAATTTAAAATTTTCAAAAACAACCCAGTTTCATTAAGTTATTACAAAAAATGTTTTCAATACAATTATTATCAGAGTCTTCCCAAAACCACATCATAAACATAATCATGAGGAGCGGTACGATCACACCTTTCTCTTGTCACGGTCTCCTGAAGAACCTAAAAAACATTAAACCACAACTGTAATCCCGAAAGCTTAGTGAGATATCCCCAAAATACAAACCACATATACCATACACGCATAACATGCCATATCATAACAGAACACAGAACAACCATGCACTTCGGATCTACTATGTGACTGGTCCGCCGCACCGGCCTTCAGTCCACCTGGTCCACCCTCCGAGTCTAGCCTCATACATCGAGTTTACAGTGTGATTGGTCCGCCCGCACCGGGCCTTCAATCCACGTGGCCCACTCTCTGAGTCTACAGTATGACTGGTCCGCCCGCACTAGGCCTTCAGTCGGCCTGGTCCACTCTCCGAGCCTCGGCACGTCTGGTCCGCCCTCTTGGGGCCTACAGCCTATCCGGACTGCTCGTTGGGTCTTCAGGATAACCGGTCCGCCCTGGGTATGTTGGCCTACAGCACAAAGCAGGACCCGCCTCAACCCAACCCCAGTCCAACAACCATGTGCACATAAACATTCAATCATATAACAAATCACATCCAATCAAACCGATCTAACAGATCACATAGCATAACATCATCCTATCCAGTATACCGACCTAACCGGTCACTAGCATAGCATCATCCTATATACCAGGATACCGACCTTAACCAGGTCTCTAACATATACCATCCTAACTACCAGGATGCAACACAACAAAGCAATAATATAACAATGATACCCGGATCACAATCCGATAAAGGGTCGGCCTTGGTGTCGTAGACCCTGTCGATATAGTGAGGATAACTCACCTCGCAACTGCTGACTGAACAGATAAACCAAGTTGCTCCGACCACCGATACGTTCTCCACCACTGGCCAACCACCAAAAAACTGAAGTCAAAACAAATGCCAACAATTACCAAGAAGCCCCTGGAAATCAACTGGTCAACCCATGGTCAAAGTCAACCCCTGATTGACTCTACTCGCCGAGTCAACCCGATGACTCGCCGAGTCCCCATGCACAGAACTTCCCTAATCTGCGACTCAACTCGCCGAGTCACCCCGAGACTCGCCGAGTTCCACAACCCTGAGCCCTTTCACACTCGACTCACCGAATCATCCCTTGACTCACCGATTCACAGCTCAACCAGAAGAAAGGTTAGCACCTCATGACCAGACTCGCCGAGTCCAAGGCTATCTGCAACCAACTCGCCGATTTCCTGCCCATCTTCATCCAACTCGCCGAGTTGTTCATCCAACTCGTCGAGTTCCAGCCTATCTTCAAGCAACTCGCGAGTACACCCTTGTGACTCACCGAGTACCCTTAGATCTGAAATCATACAGAGGCTTTCCAAGCCATGCAGAAGCTCTAAACCATAGATCTACCCTTCTACAAGCCATCCATCATGTAAAGTGGCAAACTTTACGTGAATCCAAGGAGATCTAGGCTTTTTACACTCTAGGGCTAGGGTTTGGGGCAAAAGAACTTCACCAACAACTCTTGAACATAGACTTTATGGCTTCCAGGATCAATAACAACCTAGATCTGAGGTAACAACCTCAGATCTTTCACCAAAGTGTCATCGCTATTGCCCTATTGTCGCCGCTAATACACTTGCGTCGCCGCTAATACCCATGCAGATAACCCCTTTCCGGTTCCCTTTTCTGCAATATTTTCTCCTGCTGTTTCTTTCCTTCTCTCACTCGTTTCTTGGTTGTTGCTTCTCATTTTAATCAGTTCACGAGTCGACTAAGGGGAGGACAAAGATTTAAGCCCGTGCTAGCCCCTCTGGGCGCCACAAGACCGCCACACCCTCCCCCAAAACCGGCGACCCTTGAGCTCAATTGAGAAATTGTCCACATTCAAGGTCAAATTCCTCATATTTCCTATTATTTTTCTGTTTTGGATGATAAATTGGTGCTATATGTCGGAAATTGCCTCTTGAATTGTTCTTATATCACAAATAAACACAAGACCATTTGACAATGTGGAGGCCGAAAATGTTGACATAGTTCAAAACAACTATTCATCTTTTATGGCGACGTACATGTATTAGTGTAGACACACTATTAGCGGCGACGAGCAGTATTAGCGGCGACATAATTAGCGGCGGCGATCAACCTCTAGCGGTGACTACAGGTGTATTAGCGACGAGGAATTACCGGCCACGCATTTGTAGCGACGTGTCGCCGCTAAAGATATTGGCGGCAATATCCCAGAACCTTTAGTGACGACAGGCGTCGCCGCTGTTGCCTAGACTTCTTGTAGTGTTTTCAATGCATTTTTTTTAAAATCCGGACGGTGAATGCTTTTGTTGAAAATCTAGATTTAATTGCTTAAAAAACCAGCTAAAAGTAACCCCTACTTGCGTATTTTGAGCTTTTCCTAAGGAATAGATAATTGTTAGAGGACCTTTGGGAGCTTATAACTTTTATCGTTTGACAAACGATATGTTTTAACCAAAAAGTCTCATTTGACACTATAGGTTCTTAGAGTTTATTTTAAACAAAATGATTCAAATCCAAAAAACTATCTCATATATATATATATATATATATATATATATATATATATATATATATATATATATATATATATATATATATATATATATATATATGTTTAACAAAATTTTACAAACTACAAGCTATCATTTACCCGTTATTCAGTTAGTTTTTACGAACACATCCGGAGTATGTAATTACCTACACTTGTCAAAACGTAAAACCTCGATATATCATTAATAAATATATCAAAACAAATAATTCATA